GGAGAAGTGGTGCCTCGGGGCGCGCCCGGGATCCGAACCCGGGCCGCCAGCATCAGAGCGCACGCACTTAACCGCTAAGCCACGGAGCCGGCCCTCCGTATTGTTCTTAAATGAGCTGGAGAGTTCTGGGTCCAATTTTCTGAAAGCAGAGTCTCAGAAACCCCACTCCACCCTCAACGGATGTCCGCGCGCTGAGAACATCCTCAGCAAGTCAGGAGCCTGCTGGAAGGATTTGTAAATAGTCTTATTATTTGCTCCCACGAACAGGATAATGATCTCTTCCTAGAAGTCCAAGACAAACAGCAACATTTAGTGCAATCAGAACAGAACTGCTCAGGTCTCTGATCTCTTTCTCGAAAGAAACATTTCACATTTATAACCAGAAAGAGTTTCTATCTAGAACAGGAAAGAGTAAACTCTAAGGCTGATGGATTGCTTTGGTTATTTTATTAACTCTTGGCTTTGTTCTAACAAAGATTTTGATTTTTTAAATTTATTTATTTTTTCCCCCAAAGCCCCAGTAGATAGTTGTATGTCATAGTTGCACATCCTTCTAGTTGCTGTATGTGGGACGCGGCCTCAGCATGGCCAGAGAAGCAGTGCGTCTGTGCGCGCCCGAATCCCAACCCGGGCCTCCAGCAGTGGAGCGCACGCATTTAACCACTAAGCCACGGGGCTGGCCCCTCGATCCTCCTCTTTTTGCTGAGGAAGACTGGCCCTGGGCTAACATCCGTGCCCATCTTCCTCCACTTTATATGGGATGCCGCCACAGCATGGCTTGACATGTGGTGCATTGGTGCGCGCCGGGGATCCGAACCCGGGCCCCGAACCTGGGCCGCCAGCAGTGGAGCGCGCGCACCTAACCGCTACGCCACAGGCTGGCCCCAGTCCCTGCTCTTGATACCAAGCAATGGGCTCGCTCTGCTCGCCGCGATCTGAGCCAATTAATCACAACAACTTAGAGATCAAGAAACAAAGTTTAATTGTACTAGCCGGCAAATTGGAAGACAGGTGACTAATGTCTCAAAAACCCATCTTCAAAGATTATAGAATCTTGAGACAGTTATATAGGGAAAATGGGCAGTAAGGAGGTGGTCCAGGGATGTTGGTCTCCAGGCATGTTGGTCTCCAGGCATCTCATTGTTCCATTCTTCTGTCAGCTGTGATGGATACCTTGTAGGTGTGTTTCCCGCCTGTGGTCAGCCTGTTCCTGGAGAGAAACTCATAGAACGAAGTTTTTAATTTATCAAGCTATTGGGGAGTACATATGTAAGTGGAGGCCATAAATCAGGAGAGCATGTGAATTTTTTGGAGTACATGCAGCGTAGCGAGTAGTCCCACGGAGGAGGGGCTGGGGCCATTTAGTGTAACAAGATGGCCTCACTTACGCTCACTTATACTGAGGAAGGAACTGCAGGGGAAGCAGGAGAGAAGGAAACCAGTAACTGCCTTCAAGAAGCTTAGAGGAATAAAGTCTGCAGGCGTAGCCCTAGGCTCCAAACCAGGGCACCAGCTCCTAGGCACCTAACCAATTAACCAGGATATTTAGGCCGTTTTTGAAAAGTCCAGTAACTTGGACTGAGAGTCTTTAGTCATAGAATGTTCCATTCACAAATACATGGAAATGCTTGGAAAGTTCTGAAAATGGTGCTAGCTCACGCTCCACCTCCCTCCTTCGATCACTTCAATCTGCTCAAGTCAGTGGTTAGGCCAATATGGGAAGACACGTTGCAGAAACAAAGATGTCATGATAGATTTAGGGAGAAAGCGCTCAGCCAGCCATCCCTTCTCTACAAGCATTTCCTGAGCACCCGCTGTGTGCTCAGCTGTCCTAGGTGCTAGCATTAAGGGGAGGGGGGAGGGGGGAGGGGCTGGGACAGGTGGGCAAAGTACAGCCTGCGGCCAGCCTCCTGCTTTTGTAAATCAAGTTGTACCGGAACACAGCCCCACCCATTCGTTTACTATTGTCTGTGTCTCCTTTAGTGCTTTGGTTGAGTAGTGGTGACAGAGACCTTCTGGCCACAAAGCCCAAAACATTGACATTTTTCTGGCCCTTTACAGAAAAATTGGGACTCCCCTGCACGACAGCATTGAAAAGGTAGATGCAGCCCCGCTGCCCTCATGAGGCTGAAAGTCAGCCCTTAGTAGTATATGCTAAGGGTTTATTACAACTTTGCCTGCCCAATTCAATGCTAAGAAAGGAAGTTTGCTGTCGGTGCTGGGGATTATGACACTCACCCAGAGCAGATGAGCTCAGAGATAGACAAAAAGAACTCCAGAAGGGACAGAGTGGCTCCCTGGCAAAGGAGATAACCCCCACCCTGACTGAATTCACTAGCAGATCTAAAGAAAAAATGTGCCCACGGGACAGGATTGATCAGCCCTGGAGGACCGGGAAAAGAAGGCAGGCCTTGCAAAGGCACCACTCTAAGAGAGGGGAGGTAGCCTGGGGACAGCCTGATGTGACTAAACATTCATTGATCTGATTATGATCTAGCTCCCCTGTAGGTTTTCTGCTTGGAGTGAACTTGCTGGTCAGGCAGACTGCTGGTTAGGCAGAGCAGTTTCTCCTTGTCCTTGAGTGTGCTGGCATCCCTGGGCTTGTACATGAGATTCCTGAATTTGGGTAATGTGAGTCTGCCTCTGAGA